ATGGGTAGAAGAGAAATGGAGAGCTCTACAGGTAGAGGGCTCAAACGGTTTTAGGGTGATGAGGAAGTTACAACTGCTCAAAGAAGATTCGAAAGAAGGGAGACAGGAAGAGTTTGGGGATGAGGAAGGCAGAAAGAAAGAGGTGTTGGAGAAGCTTGCTAGGTTGGAGAGGTTGGAGGAGGAAGAAGAGCATCTTTCCAAGAGAAACTAGATTGGAAAAGGAAGGGTTGGAAAGAGAATTAAATAAGTTACTTTTGAAACAAGAGGTGAGCTGGAGGCAAAATCAAGGGCATTATGGTTAAAAGAGGTAGACAAAAATACAGTTTTTTTTCATGCATTTGCAAGTGGGAGGAGGAGGAACTTAATTATGAGGGTACAAGTAGGGGAGGAAGTGGTTGAGAATTGGGAAAATATTCAAAGGTTAGTGGTGGACTTCTATAGGAAGCTATATTCAGGAAGGCAATGGTGTTGGATTTCTTTGGGAGAGGTTAAAACAAAGAGAGAGAGAGAGCAGCTGGGTGATATTTGTCGAAGACTGTATAGGCTGGCTGATCACCACCCCATCCAGTTTTGGGAGGATGATTGGAGTGGGGTCAGGAAGTCGTGTAATATTTGCCCAAGACTGTATAGGCTGGCTGATCATCAGGTTTCAGTAGCCCACTGCTATGAAGTCAGAGGTGATTAGGTGGTTTGGAGCCCTATGTTCAGAAGACCCCTACTTGATCAAGAGGTGGAGGAATGCATTCTTTTGTTGGACAAGCTACAACAGACTAGAATCTCTACAACCATTGAAGATGGCTTGTGGTGGAAGAAGTGCAAAAATGGAAAGTTCACTGTGAAGTCATTCTACATGGCTCTCATTAAGGATGATGTAATCAGTGATCAAATCAGGAGGAATTTGGGGAAATCCAGTTCCCCCAAGAATTGAAGCTTTTGCTTGGCTGGTTGCATTGGACAGTGTTCTCACAACAGATCACTTGAAAAGTAGAGGTTTCAGCATGGCTAGCTATTGCTATTTGTGCAAGTCCAAAGAGGAAAAAGCTTTTCACCTGTTCTTCACTTGCCATTTAGCAAACTTCATTTGGAGATTCTACTTCTTCCTATTTGGGATTCCCATTTTCCAACCATCCTCAACAGCAGAGATCTTCTCTGTTTGGCCAAATTTCAGAGGAAGCAAGAAAGCTAAAATCATTTGGAGCTGGCATCCCTTTTGCAGTGTGCTGGTCTATGTGGTGGAAAAGGAACAGGAGGCTATTTGAAGGAAAAGAAAGAAATATTGAAGTGATTGTGGCTTCGGTTGGCAAACTCATCACAAATTGGGCTCTCTCCCTTCAAGAATTTGAGCAAATCAGTTCTTCAGAGTTCAGACTTTGAAGAGAATTTCTGGGACATTCTTGAGATTCAAGCTTGTAATGTGAATCATTTCAGTCTTGACTGATGTTTTAATGTATTCTTGTAGTGGGGTGTCATCTTCACACCTGAACAGATTGTACCTCCTTTTATTTTTTAATAAAATTCTTTTTTTTAATGATCAGCAATTTTTTAATAAAATTCTTTCTTTGTTACTCTTTAAAAAAATCTTGTAATTTTCTGACTTCTAACTCCATAGCCTTAAAGTTTAGGATTTCTTTACATGTTTATTTTGGCTTCTTTCTTCGTTCTTCTTTCACTATGACTATGGTGAAAGTGACACCTTAGAACCCATAAACTAAATACCAACTTAAATTAATGGCTCTGAGTTTTTCAGAATATGTTATAAAAAAAGTACAATTAAAAGGCTATGGTACAGGTTGGGTTGGTATCTGGTTGAACCCTATAGGGTCATGGCAGGTATGAAAACTGTGTTGCTGGGTCAGGTCGGTTAGGTCGGGTTAGGTTAGGTTAGGTTTAGGTGGGAGCATTGGAGGATCAGGTTAGGGTGGGGCAGACCCATACCAAACCCAAACCCGTTGGCATCCCTAGTTATTCTCATCCAAGAAGTAAAATTACAGGCAATAAACACAACAAATGAATTAGAATAAAACTAAAACAGCAGCATCAAACACAAAGTTAGGAACTCACAAAGGTTCTCCAGGGGTTGTCCAGATTTGTAGCTAGAGCTCCTCTGCAACAGAAATTAAATTAAAAACAAATTGATACACGTTAGGAAGAAGAGAGAAACGAGAAGTGGGAGTGGGGGAGGGAGATAAGGCAAGCAAGTAACCCCAAATAAAGGTTCAAGAGATTGACAGTGGCAGCTTTGGCAGGATGGAACTGGTAAGGCCAGGGGGTTATCATGAATTTATGAAATGACACCAGATTGGTTACCTGCTTTGGCTGGAAAGGGAAAAAATAACAAAAATGATAAGCATATCCTACAAGCACAAAATATAGTACTTTAACCCATTTAATCATTACTTGAGGAAGAATCCAGCATCCTGCTACTTATGCTATATTTTGTTAAAATTCTATTCCAATAGAATCATTTATTAGATGAATGACTTTTGAACCAAAAAAAATAAAAATTCTTTTAAAACTAAATATTTTGGCAAAAAAAATTCAATTCTTAGAATGATTATTCAGCTCAAGAAAAGTTTTAGTTCCAGCAGATTTTTAGAATCACAAAATTCTTCAGAAGTAATTGACTGAAAGCATGGCAAACACAGCCTTGATGAGAAATTATTTCCTCTTAATTCCCTTGTTCATTGACTACATAAAGTTAGAAATTATTTCCCTCCTCCCCCCCCCCTTCTCTCTTGCCCCACCCCCTTTTCTTGATTCTACCCCCATTTACAGATTTTCTTTTTATCAGGGCAGAGATTATTCAAAGGCATGACTGATCAATATCGATATGCTTGCTTGGATTTTTTTTCACATTTTATCTTTCTTGAAACCATTTTAGTTATTGCACCCCCTTTTCTCTCATAATCATTAGTTTATATGTTCATTATTATATGTACAATATTTTTGACAAGTAAATAGCAAGAATTTTATTAAAAGAAAAGAAGTTACAAAAAGAGGGTGATGAGACAGCACCCGAGAACAAAGAAATCAAAACAAAACAAAAGAGCCATCTATCAAATCGGGGCCGGGGTTGGACGTGCGTGACCTTCTTAAAAGTCACGTGAGCTCGCGGGTGTTTAAGAATGGGCCAAAGCAAAAGCCCATGTGGGTTGCTAATAGTATTTGTAAAGGCCCAAACAGGTCAGCGGCCCCGACCCAGCTTGTTAAAAAGGCGCGTGAGCCTTTAATGAAACACGTGACTGGGGTTTCGACTATGATAGACATCGGTTACGGTCTATCATCGTCCCCAGCCGCGAGCCAAAAGGGGGAATGCGCGTAGTGCCGGAAACCAGAAAAGAAGAGGGCGTTATAGTGGGTCTCCCGACGAAGTTTGAAGGAGCTTAGCCCCRTGCGAGGCTTCTCAGAGAGGCCGAAGCCAAGTTTCACTAGGGGAAGAACTGAAGAGAAGAAAGAGAAGTTTGATGAATCAGAGGACCTTTCTGTTGATAGCTCTAGCGTGGGCAGTGTAAATGATGAAGGTA